TCTATCTATCATTTATCATCTATCATCTAACTATCTATCTACCTATCATTTATCATCTATCTATCTATCTATCTATCTATCATCTATCTATCTATCTATCTATCTATCTATCTATCTATCTATCTAATCTCCTATTGCTCCTATTGGCTCTGTTTCTCTGGAGAACCCTGACTATATATAATCAAAGTAACCCTTCTTCATGTGATATCCTTGCAAAAGTGCCTTCTTTTTAAAAGAAACATATGAATGGTTCTTAATTTTCAGAAAAGTCCGTGTGCTGCTGATTACTCTGCAGATGTTCTCTGTGACCGCATAGGAAAGCTCAGGCCCGTCCATCACTCTCGGAAATTAGTGAGCGATCCTGAGCTGGAGGGTGGGGGCATCTACAGCTGGGGAATGACCAAGGTGTTGGCAAAAGCCTCTGGGAAGACTGAATCTAGGGAACTAGAACACTGCGCTGAAAATCATAGGGAGAGAGTTTCTCTGTTAGCACTCACAGTAAGTTTTGTGAAAAAGAATTAGTAGGTGGAGGATGAGGAGAAAAAGCACCTCATCTTGCTCAGGTTTTGAAAAGCTTACTGCTCTCAAAACAGTGTGAATGCTGGGAGGGGCTGTGCTTGGATGAGTGGAGGGCAAGAAGCCAATTTGTAGCTAGTGTGTCACATCACAGCCTATTTCTATTTTTTGTTTGTTTTTTTATTGATTTCAGAGAGAGGAAAGGAGAGAGAGAGAGAGAGAGAGAAGGATAGAAACATCAATGATGAGAGAGAAGCATGGATTGGCTGCCTCCTGTACCCTCCCTACTGGGGATCAAGCCCACAACCCAGGCATGTGCCCTGATTGGGAATTGAACCCTGACCTCCTGGTTCATGGGTTAATGCTCAATCACTGAGCAACACTGGCTGGGCCTACTTCTGTTTTTGAAGACCAGGTTTTTTATTTTTACTTTTTTTCAGAGAAGAAAGGGGAGAGAGAGGTAGAAACAATAATGAGGAGAGAGAATCACCGAGTGGCTGCCTCCTGTATGCCCCCTACTGGGGATCAAGCCTGCAATCCAGTCATGTGCCCTTGACAGGAATGGAACCTGGGACCCTTCAGTCTATAGGCCGATGCTCCATTCACTGAGCCAAACCAGCTAGGGCTGAAGATCAGGTTTTAATTTATTTTTAGGACAGTCTTGATTTTAGGTGTTCTGTCTTATGATGAGATTATCTGTTACAGTATGTTCCTGGGTTTTTGGTTGGGAAAATATGGTTATCTTATATCGCTTCTGTGACTGCTTTCCCGTCTCCATGATTTCCTTCACCATATTCTTCCCAGTTAATGTAGCTATTTAATGTCCATCTCGAAATGCACCCTGTGGGGTGTAGTGTGACTTTCATGGGCATTAAGCACTTTTGCCTTCATGGGCTCCTTCCTTCGTTTAAACAAAAAAACTAAAAATTTATTTTACATCCTTGTTGGCAGAAAGAAATATAATCCACAAAGGAGTATACAGTAATAATTTTTTTGTCCTTTTGACTTTCAAAGAAATTCAAAGCCTCTCCTGAACCCCTTCGAGTATAATGGGCCTTGGGAACTCTGCCTCCTCATCTTATTGGATAATAAGCTGTCCCGGATTCCTCCATAAAAACGCCTCCCCTCTTACATACTAGCATCAACACACACTCTGGACACAGAGAGGCTCAAATGCCAACCCCAGTGTCTTCACTTTCTAACTATAAACCAGAGCAAGTGACTCAACCTTTCTGCACATCAGTTTTCTCCTTTGCATACTTCTTACCTCATACAGTTGCCATAGTAATGTGAAATCATGCATACATAGTGCTTAGTACCTGGTCCATGGCAAATGCTTGTAATTGGCAATTATTTCTGTTTAAACTGATGTTGGTCATTAACTACCTTCATTTAAGTATTACCCTATTATTTACCTTTTCAGCTATGTTTAACTTCCTTATTAAATGTAAATCCCTAGAGGGCTAGGAATAAGTTTTAAACTAGCGTTTCTCAGAACTTTTATTGTGCATCAGGGTCATCTGGTGGAGGTATTGAAATACAGATGACTGGACCCCATTTGAGTTCTTGAGTCGGGAGGTCTGGTGTGGGGCTGGTAATCCACATTTATAACTAATATGCAGGCGATGCTGAGGCCGCTGGGTTTTGGACCCCCCTTAGAGAATCACTGCTTCAGACAATTCTGCCTCCTCCAAAATCTAGCACAGAGGGAAGTTTTGAAGTACTAATATTTTTATACTACTATTAATGCTGGTAATAACACTAGAGTTGTAATAATACAAATATTTCCAAGTAAATTATTTATGCAACAGGTACTACAAATGCCAGCAGGAAAATCTCCCAACTGTGAGACAACTTTCATTACAGCAGGAGCTGAGCAGAAAGGGCTGCACAAAGAAACCTGATTGAAAGAAGAGGGGCACGTGGCACAATGCAATACTATCATCTGTTTGACTTCAGGGCCATGTGCAAAATGCAGACAAGAAGCCAAACAGTAGCTCAGCCAACTCCAGGCTGCCTGCGTTCTTAGCTCAATCTATAACAATGCCAGCAGGGCTGCTGGGATCCATCTGCTGCTCTCTTTCTGATAACGGATCTGGGGTCTCTGGAAGAAAATAGCTTGACAGGAAGAAAAAAAGATTAGGCCAACTGAAAATGCTGGATTTATGAAGCTTCACTTGAATCTGGTATAGCTTTTAACTCTTTATGGCCTTGGACTAAGCCTCAACATACCCCTGCTATTCTGTGTGTTCTCCGTTCCCTTCCTTCCTGGAGAAACGTCATTTTTGAATACCAAAGCTCTCCTGGGTGTACCGTGGCTACACACAGATTAAATCTGCAGGATTTAATACTGATGGAAGGCTTGACATCCTCCAGCCCAACCCACTGGTTTTACAGATGAGGAGACTTAAGTCTAGGGTTATCCTAAAATGCATAACCAACATGATAGCATCAGGCTGGAGTCCAGATTCCTTGACCGGCCGTGGCTATGTGGTGTGTATACCCCTTTATACTCCCAAAATGAATAGAAAAAAATGATATGGTTTTTTTTTTTCACTACATTTTAAGGGGGGGAAACATGATTCTCTCCTTTACTTAAGTTACTTTTCACAATTTGCCCTTTTGTCTCTGGAGGCAGGAGAGCGAATAAAGAGAAACACAAACAACTCTAAACAGTGTCAGCGGGGTCTGGAAGCTTGAGGGCAGGGACGGCATCCTGTTCCCTGCTATGTCCATGGCTACCCAGACACTCAGCACAGAGCAGATTCCAAAAACCATGCGGTGAGTGAATGGATGAATAAATGAATCACTGGTTTAATGGTGATGTGTTGATTTTCCAGCCAATCAGGGAATGAAGTTTCACACTAAGACACTAAGCCTGCTGTGGAGTCTCCTTATTCCCACTAGTAAGTTAAATACTTGTAGAAAACCAGAATCGCCTTTTCTGTGTGTCTGCTGGAAAGTATAGTCTTTGGGGGTAAAAAAAACCCCAGACTGTTCACGCTTGTTACGTAATTCTAGGCAAGTCATAGAATCTTTCTGATCCTTAAGGCCCCTCCCGCTATCAGTATGGGTAAAATAAAGAGAATAACACCTATTACCTCAGGGTTGCTGTAAGGATTAAATAAGATAATGGTGCCCCTGCCTGGTGCTATGAATAAATGTTAGTGCCCTTCCCACTCCGGTTCCAATGGCTTGTATAAGGCTGATACTGGTGTTGAGCAGGACAAATATTGGGAGGGTAAGTGTAAGATCCTGGGTGGAAACTGAGGGGCTTTTTTGGCTGAAAATATATACAAATCATGGTTATCATTATAGCTACCCAGCAGCTACTTTTCTTGATGGCATGCTCTGCAAAAAATATAAGCAAAACTAGGTATTCTTAATATCCCATCATCCCTCACTGTTTCCCTGGTTTCTAATAAAATCATTTTCAGGAAGAAAGTAAATTTAGTTTTTTGCTTACCCATTTGGTCTTGGTTTCCTTGTTCTGGGCTCAAGAAACTCTGTCTCCTCCTCCATTTCTGTCTCAGGGATTATGTTTTTCTGCGAAGGCTGTGGTGAAAGCATTTCCCATTCATTGTCATGGGCAACAGTCTGCAACATAACTGTATCTGGGCCAGCCCTGCCTCCGCTCTTGCTCTTCTGAGATTGGCTGCACAGACCAGAGGCCTCCTCTATTGCTGCAGATTCTAGAGGCTTTGTTTCTCCCAGAGCCTGCATCTGGGGACTCATGCCCAAGTTGTGATCAGAGGCTGGCTCCACTGCCCTCTCAGACCCTTCGTCTCTAGCTTCTGACGATGGATTGCCCACCTCACTATGGCCCAAGACCATCCAACTCTGTTCTTGCCCAGGGCTTTCAAAAGATGATCTCTTATCATCTTCAGAAGACATGTTCTCTGCAGAATGATCTTGTCTTTCACTTAAGGAGTCGGACTGACAAGTGTCTGGGAAGTCTGCTGCTTGAGTTCCTAGCAGCTCCGTTTGTTTGGAACCTACGTGGAACTCTGCCGATTCCGATGTGCTTTCTCTTGCTTCAAAGGCCTCTGGCTCTGGGGGTGAATTTTCTTTATGGTTTACAAGGATGTAGTCCAGGTGTTGTGCTTGATGGTCTTCATTCTTCTCCGTGTTCCTTTCTTCTCCGAATTCTGGTTTAATCTGCTCAGGCTCTTGGGTAGGAATTACTGCTTCTTCTTCAAACTCGAATATTCCCTTGCTGGCACCTAAACGTGGAAGATGAGGTGAGAAGGGGAGAAACAAGGCTTAATGGACACATTATGTGATTTGTGATCTTTGCAAATGATCCATCTAAGGAGAGGTAATTTAAGAAATATCTGTTTAACAGATGGCAGCCAGAGGTGAGGTAGCGGAGAGGCTGGGTGCAAAAGGTGAAGGGATTAAGAAGTAGATTGGTAGTTACAGAATAGTCACAGGGATGTAAACTACAGCGTAGGGAATATAGTCAATAATATTGTAATAATTATGTATGGTGCCAAGAGGGTACTTAAAATATCAGAGGAACACTATGTAAAGTATAGGATTGTCTAACCACTATTCTGTACACCTAAAACTAATACGAAGTAATACTGAATGTAAACTGTAATAAAAAGATATTTTATACCAAAAAAATATGTTTAATCTTCTCATGTGCTCTCAAAGATAGGTATTATACAAGGAGGAGCTATTACTGCTGTAATATAGGACTTGGCAAGGTAGGGATGCCTTGCAAATGTAGTTAGTTCCCATTTACCCACACCGGTAGGAAGAATATGTTTTGCAAAAGGGTTAATTGAATGAAAGCAGCAGTTTCTGGGGGTTGGTGGAATGGGCTGGTTCTTACCGTTTGATGGTCCTATGTCTCCACCTGCTGGTGAATCTGAATTATCTGTTTCTTCTTCCCAGTCAATGTTTGATGGAGACAACTCCACGTTGGAATCACCTCTGACAGGAAGAGAAGCTGACTCAGGGTCTTCATGAATATGCAGTACAACCAGCTGGTGCCCAGGTTGGCTGATTTGGGCCTCAGTGTGGCTTTCCTTGCTTCTTTGATCAGGTAGAGTGGAAAGCAGCATCTCTCCTGCTTCACTCCCCATAGACTTATCCTCCGGAGTCCCAGCTTCCTCTGAGGTTTTGACACCACGAGCAGGTTCTGTGAGGTAGGACAAATCAAAGGGAGGCGTGTAAGGTGTCAGTGATTGCTTCAGAGCATCTTCTTCCATGGGGTGGTCACCACCATAGAGAAAGTGTTCAGGCTCTTTCATGAAATCCTCATCAATATTTTGGCCCATGACATCACATTCAAAATCACCCCACGAGGCTTCAGATGAACAGATATCTTGCTTCCCAGCATCCCCATCCACTGGCGTATCAGGATTGCCTTCTGATAGTGTCAGTTTACTCATGTCATCTATGGTTCCTGTGGACGTGTTGAGACCTGAGGCATCACTGAAACTGATGCCTTCGCTTACATCCAGACAAGTGTCCGAGACTAGCAGAGCGTCGGGAACTGAGGCAGGGTCCCCAGCAGTCAATGGCTGCTCGATGTCCAACAAGGCTGCTTCCCCTATCTGACTTTCAGGAGAAAAGTCCTCTGAGATCCAAGAACTGTTGCCATCCATGGTTGGCTCTTGGTGAGTTACAAAAATAGCGGTTCCCACCTTTTTAATCATTGGGATTGTTCTGTCTATGGGCTCCCAAATTGGTGCCATCTCTAGGTCGGCTCCTTCTTCTGATGCTTTTATACCTGTGTTGTTTTCATCATTTATTTCAGAAGGTTCGGGAGAACCACTGTGAGAGGCAGCAGGCTGAGATGAGCCATTTGTGTTTACTTGATCGCTCGTGGGAGGCAGTGGAATTTTGTTTTCAGAACATGGTTCTGAACTGTATGGAACAAATTCCTGCCCAGGCTCGTGACTGGGTTCTTCATCCAGCTTTGGCTCGGTGACATATAACTCATTGGCTTCCCCTTCAGGTCCCATCCTAGCGCTGATGTGCGGCCCAGTCTCTTGCTTGGCTTCATGATCATGACAAATATCAGGGCTGTTGGAAGCCTGAGAATTGCTGTCCTGGTCACAGTGAGTCAGTATATCAGGATTCTCACCATCTGCTTTCAAACTGAAGGGCTGCTTAGCATCCATCCACAAGTCAGGCGAAGCTGAGGCCAACTGCCCACCCTCTTGAAAGTTGCCATGTAAGATATCTGGGACAAATGTGCTTTGGGGGCCCTCACTAGGGGTAGAGCCATCCCATTCAGCCCCTGACTTCTTTATCAACTGGGTAGAAGAACTGACAGCAGGGGAATCTTTGGAGGCAATGCATGAATTTGTCATTTCACTGGGGTACGATTTTTCTTCCTCCCGCCAATTTGTTTCTTGACACTCAATAGTTGAGACATTAGATGTAACACATTTATTTTCATCTATGTGAGTAAATGCTGGGTCTGGCTGATCCCAGACCGACAGCACTGCATCATGACACTGCTCTTGGCTAGGTGTTTCAGAAGTGAGCTTGTCACCAGCAGAAGACATGAAAGTTTGCTCTCTGGGATCCTTTTCTTTAATTTGGTCCAATATTACAAGCTGGCTAAGCTGATCAGCTTCTGGATCTGGCTGCCGTGGTTGAATGTTCCAAAGTTGCTCATGGGAGTTCTCCGCATTACTATCCAGAAAGGGTGACTGATGTTCATCACTGAAAGGATTAGTACAATGTGTGTCCATGGATTCCATATCACCCTGAATGGGTATGCCCCAGGGACCCACGTGTTGGTATACAGAAGAATTCATCTCTAGCATACCACCTGAGTTAGATAGCTCCCCCTCAAATGCCCTCTCAGTTGGTTGCCCTTCCTGAAGAGATGCATTCCACCACTCAGTGCTCTCAGCTGGGAAGTCAAGCATTTCCAGTTTAGAATTATTTTCATTCTTTGGTTCAGTTTTGGGAGATATTTGCCATATGATATTTCCTGTCTTCCCTGTTTCTGGAGATCTCGTCTCCTTATCTACTGCTATCATCTGTGTTTCAGTCTCCTTTAGTGGTGAGAAATTAGAGTGGTCAGGGCTGCTCTGTGGATTGTCACAGAATGGGTTTGATGTGTTCTCATTCTCTGCTGGTCCTGAACTGCCTACATAGGCAGATAATTCCTCAGACTTGGGATCTTCCATGTCCAAGAATTTAGATTCATTTAATGAGTCCCAAGCTTGGGGTTCGCTCTGAGCAACCTGGCAAGTGACCAAATGGCTCTCTTCCTCCACTGACTCCTCATCGCCTACGCTATCATCGTCGGAATCTGAGCTTGCTGACGTGAACTTGGCATCCT